GTCAGCAGACAGAAGATCTTCCTGTCTGTCTCTCCTCCTCTCTGTATATCTTACTTTCCAATTAAAAAAAATAAATCTTAACACAAAATGAATCCTTTAAAAATCTTTTATTCTGCTACATTTATAGCTGTTTATTGATATAATTTTAATCTATCTGTGTCATACATTATGAGGAATCTCATTTTGTAAAAACTAGTATTTTTATTTGAAAAGCAGAGTTACATAAGGTAACAGAGACCTTCCATCGACTCCCAGAATGGCTGCAACAGCCAAAGCTGGATGGGTCTGAAGCCAGGAGCCCGGAGCTTCCTCCAGATAGCCCACATGGCTTACAGGGTCCCAAGGACTTGGGCCATCCTCTGCTGCTTTTCCAGGCCATAAACAGAGAGCTGGGTTGGAAGAAGAGCCACCAGGATGCGAACTGGCACCCATGCTGTGAGCTAGTACCACAGGCGAAATCTTAGCCTATCATGCTTGGTGCTGGCCCAGGGTCTCAGTTTTTTGAACAGTACAAAGCCAGTGGTACCATTGTATGTTTTCCCAGCTGGTCTAAAATGCCACCAATATTATACTGTCAGCTTCCACATGCATTGTGTCTGTTTTCACACTTGTTATTCTCTCCTACCAATACATTTCTCTGTATTTAAAAAAATATATATTTATTTCAAAGAGACAGAGATCTCTCTCATCTATTGGTTAGTTCATTCTCAAAATGCCTGAAATGACCAGTGTTGGGGTAGCCAAAACTAGGCGCCAGAAACATTGATCATCTCCCATGTTGTGGATAGGAAACCAAGTATTTGAACCGTCTCTAATTACATTCCCCAGTGTACGTTAGGAGAAAGCTGGATTCAGGAGCAGACAGGACTTGAACCTAGGCACTTTGGTATGGTCATGTCTTCAACTGCTAGACCAAACATTTTCCCCCATATGCTGGGATGTTAACTGCTGTTGAATATTCTTATTGTATATTTTTATTCATTTACTTTTCCAAAAAAAATCAGCTAAGTTGCATTTTTATCAGAATTTTATTAAATGAGCAAGAAATTATTTTCTCACTTCAATCCTGTTCAAGCATAGGCGTGATGTCTTCTTAATCCATAGGGGACATTTTTTATTTTTATTGCAAATAAATGTTTTGTTGGGTTTATTGTAAACTTTATAACTCGGTCTACTGTATTGCTAGTTCAAAAATGATGTATCGCTTGATTTACACTTCCATTCTAGAGAAATTAAAAGTAGGTTTGTTAACCTTTTATTCTGTAAATTATGTAATTATACCTTTCATCTGCTTCATACTTAAAGCTGCCATCTTACTTGAGCTTATCATATAAGGATACTAATCATTTTTCACAAGTAAGGCCAGTATTTTTCCAATTTATTAACTGTCATTTGACTTAACACCTTTAAAAAAAAAAACTTCTCAGAAGTCTGGAAGTGAAATAATTAAATCCATGACTGTTTTGTGACTTTTTTTCTGTGGCTTTTATATATTGAATAATCTTGGACCAGCGCTGTGGCATGGGCTAAGCGTCTGTCTGTGGCAGTGGTATACCATATGGACACTGATTTGTGTCCCAGCTGTTCCGCTTCTAATCTAGCTCCCTGCTTACTGCCTGGGAAGGTGATAGGGGATGGCTCAAGTCCTTGGATCACTGCAATCTGGTGGAAGACCCAGAAAAATCTCCTGGCTCCCAGTTTCAGGTCCACTCAGCTCTGGCGATTGGGGTCATTTGGGGAGTGAACCAGCATGTAGAAGATCTGTCTCTCTTCTCCATATAACTGCCTTCCAAACAAAATAAATGTTAAATACTGAATAATCTTTTATATTAAGAAAGAAATGCCATGGAGAAAACTAGTTACATTGATCTGATAATGGAATCAGTTTTAAAGTGATGACTTTATAGATATTTAATAAAAACAGTGTTATGATGTTAGTGATACTGTTCTCATTTTAGATAACTGAATGTTATATATACACACATACACATGTTTTATATATACTTTTACGCTTGATCTTAGCCAAAAGGCCAAGAAGTGATTTATATGTACTTTTAAAAACCATTTTTTTCACAAACCTTGTATATCTATATCAAAAAAATTGAAGCATTTGTTTATCACTTTAAGAATTTTGAATTGTTCACAACTGCAACTAACAGCTTGAATTAAATCCCATGTCTTAAAGATTTATTGATTTTTTTGTTGTTGTTGTTGAAGGACAGATTTACAGAGAGAAGGCGAGATAGATCCTCCATCTGCTGCCCCATTCTCCAAGTGTCCGCAACGGCCGGAGCTGAGCCGATCCAAAGCCAGGAGCTTCTTCTAGGCCTCCCACACAGGTGCAGGATCACAGGCTTTGGGCCATTCTTTACTGCTTTCCCAGGCCACAAGTAAGGAGCTGCATGGGAAGTGGAGCAGCTAGAACTCAAATTTGGGCCCAAAATCCCATGTCTTAAAATTGTCACTTAAGGAAGAAAAATGTCACTTAAAGCTATTTAAAACACAATATGCTCTATGCAACAGGTAGAGGAATAATATCTAGGATTTATAATGATCTCAAAAAACTCAATTAAAACAAGAAACAATCCAGTTAAGAAATGGGGAAAGGACATGAACAGGCGTTTTTCGAAGGCTAACAGATAGGAAATAATGTTCAGGATTACTAGCCATCAGGGATATGTATATAAAAACCACAAAGCAACTTCACTCCAGTTAGAATGACTATCACACAGAAATCAGAAAACAGTTGATGCTGGTGAGGATATGGGGGGGAAAGCTGCCCTAATCTACTGTTGATGGGAATGTCTTTTAGTGCAGCCATTATAGAAGACCATATGGAGATTAGATCTACCATATGGTCCAGCCATCAAATTCCTTGGAATTTATTCATATGAAATTAAATCAGCCTATTAAAGAGTTATCTGTACCCTCATGTTTATAACAGCTTAATTCACAATAACTAAGATATGCAATCAACTCAGATGCCCATCAACTAATGATTAAATAAAGAAAATGATATATGGGGACCAGCACTTTTGCTCAGCTAGCTAATCCTGGGCCTCCAAATGCTGACATTCCATATGAATGCTGGTTTATGTCCCATTTGCTCCACTTATAATCCAGCTCCCTGCTTCTGACCTTTGAAAGTAGTAGAGGATGGTCCAATGCCTTGGGACTCTGCACCTGAGTAGGAGACCCTGAAGAAGCTCCTGGCTCCTGGCTTTGGATTAGCTCGGCTCTGGCCGTTGTGGCCATTTGTGAAGTGAACCAGCTGATGGAAGATCTTTCTCTTTGTAAATCTGGCTTTCCAATAAAAAGAAATGTATCTTTTTAAAAAAAATATGTATATATGATGGAATACTACTTGGACATAGAAAATAATGAAATCTTGTCTTTTCCAAGTAAATGAAGTCTTTTAGCAACCATTATGATTAATGAAATAAGCCAATTCCAAAGGGGGGGAAAAAATATGTTCTTCCTGATCTGTGATAATTAATACACAGAGTACAAAATTGTAATCTATATGAATGAAATTGACATCATGGGACTTTGTATTCCTGAGGAAGAGTAAGGTTTTTTTCCCCCCTGCTTGCTATGGATAGATATGTTTACCTAATGGAGTGTTAAGTCTGATTGCAGGGTGAAATGAAAATATGCCATGTGAAAAATAGCAAAAAAAAAAAAAAAAAAAAAGGAAGGAAGAGGGTGGGTAAGGAGTGTGGGCAAGAAGAAGGCTAGGCTGGGACATACCACTGGACTCCTAAATCCTATATTGTGAAATACATGAAATTTTCTCACTTAATATAAAGAAAAAGAAAAAGTAGTTTGCTCTGATATGGAATTTGCTGTAATGTTACTATCAGAGTGTGTGTTTTATTGTCTACTCTGTCGTTACGGGAATTGTTCATGTGAGTTTGTCTTATAATACACAACCCTGTAATTTTTCCCTTTTCCCCTTAACTCCTTCAAGCCCTACATTGTTATATGAAGCTGCATTTATACAAATGAACATTAACTATTTTACAAACAACCTGATACATGAGTTATTTGAGTTTACATATTCAACTATATTTACTGAGTTAACCCTTTTTAAAGTATTGGGAAAAATATTTATATTTGTGAATAAAAGTTGATCTACTTTCTCATTGTTATGTTAGCCTCCAGAATTATAATCAGTAAATAAAAATAATGAAAGTATTGGAACTATGCCAAAAACTTTATAGTTTGACCCTAAGACAAGTAAATATTTGGTTGTTACAAAAACATTTTTAAAAACTCAATGTCTTGTATGACAATATGCACTCAACTAATAAAATAGCTGTATTGAATAACTGGAACACCTCTTAATTATAGAAATCCTTTTAAAATTATTATAGAGTTCTAAAATTTTACATATTTTTTATCAAAATAATATACGCAATTAATGCTCAACATAGATTTCCTACCACTTGTATTAGAAACTCCTTTTGTGCTTACTGTTTTGATTATTTTATCAGTTCATTTTAGATGATTTTCTTGCTCAGTTTGTTCATTGAGTCTTTATGATTGTTTGAAGAGCTATTTAGAACAGTACCATCCAAAAGAACTTTTCTTCATCAGTAGGAATGTAGACAGGAAGGTAGACAGTTTGTACTGCCTGCAGGTGGCTACATGGGTGTAATAAGCTCTTGAAATGTGAGCAGTATGACTAAAACTTATAAGTTTAATTTTAGTATAACTAATTTTTTAAACCACATAATCAAGATCACAAAACCCCCTATTATAAAATTGTAGATAGAAAGGAAACTACAGTGCCATATTTGTAATATAACCATTTTGTTGCATTTGGTTTTGTTGTATTTTTCTGAAACATTACATTGCTATATTGGATATACCACAGAACATTTCTCCTCATTTTGGGAGATAATTTCTTTCTAAGGAGAAGTGTTTGTGCTAGAACCTATGAAGTAATAACTGTCATTCTAAGATTGGTCCATATAAAGCATTTGTTCATTTTTAAGCAACTGATTTAGAAGAAAGTTTTAATGAGCATGAACTGGAGCCCTCATCACCTAAAAATAAAAAGAAAAGTCGCAAAGGAAGGCCACGAAAAACCAACTTCAAAGGGCTATCAGAAGACACCCGATCCACATCCTCTCATGGAACAGATGAAATGGAAAGTAGCTCTTACGTAAGTACAAAACTTTTGGACTCTTTTGTTGTACCATGGCCATTTTATTTAAACTGTATAGATGAAGCTAATCATGTGGATGTAATTTAAACTTGAAATCATGCTATCAGGCACTTTATTAAGTTGGTCTTTTATTTTCCATTTGCAGAGAGATAGATCTCCACATAGAGGCAGCCCTAGTGACACAAGGCCTAAATGTGGATTCTGTCACGTAGGGGAGGAAGAAAATGAAGCAAGAGGAAAATTGCATATATTTAATGCCAAGAAGGCAGCTGCACATTATAAGTGTATGGTAAGCATGTTTTATTTCATTGTGCTTTTAAAGTGAAGCTCTTTTGGAAATCAGTAGCTAATAACCAAATACAGCACTTTGTCGCCTAGCATTAGTGTTTTAGAATTATGAATAGCATGTCGTGTGATCCTAATTCTTAACAAACCTTATGTTTTTAAAAATAATTCCCTTTATATTTTTGTAACATTTGATCTAGTATTCATTATAGTTACCATTTTCAAAGTAATGCATGAATTTTTCGTAACCAAAAATTTCAGCTACATAGACGTTTTATGAAAGATGTTTTAGGCCTCTACTGTAACTTAATAAGTATCTTTTGTGTGTAACACATGGTATAACATTTACTTACGAGTTTATCTTCTATAATGTATATTAAAATTGCATTGTAATGATATATTAAAATTCATATAAAATTGCATTATGTGTATCACCTTCTTTTAGAAATATTTGCTAATTTTCATCTACTTGAAAGGCAAATAGAAAGACCAAAAGAGACAGAAATAGAGATCTGTACCTTCCATCCATTGATTCACTCTGCAAATGCCTGCAGCAGCCAGAAACTCCAGCCGGGTGTTCCACCATGAAGGCGGGGATCTAAGAATTTGGGCCAGCTCCTGCTGTATCCCAGGATGCACATTAGCAGGAAGCTGGATTGGAAACGGGAATAGCCAGGATTTGAAAGGACACTCTGATATGGAACTATCTGTGCCACTCCACCCGTTCCAGTTTCATAGATTTTTAACCATAATACATGTCAGATTTACCTGGGAGGCTATTTCCAAAATATAGGAACTTGAGGCACCCGTGGAATAGATCCGGGACATGTCTGTTTTGAACAAACAAAATCGCTAGGTGATTCTAACCTACAACCTATAGTTGAAATTTGCCAATTTAATCTATTTTTTATAAAAACTCTGTAGAGATACAGAATGGTTGAGATGACAGGAAATTATTGAAATCTTTGTCTGAAGCAGGGTATTTCATCTTGGCTCCATACTAGCAATCTTATTTTATTATCTTTCATTTTGGGTTGTATTTTAACAATATAAATATGTTCAGAATAATTGGAGTTAGTACTTAAATACTGAGGAAAACGCATCTTAGAGAAGATTAATATAACACATTTAATGTCTCATTTATGTTTTTTCGTATAAGGCCTCTGTTAACATTGTGCATTTCTCTTCTCCAGTTATTTTCTTCTGGCACAGTTCAACTCACAACAACATCAAGAGCAGAATTTGGAGATTTCGATATCAAAACTGTGCTGCAGGAAATTAAGCGAGGAAAAAGAATGGTCTGTGGTTCTTACACTTGTGTTATGCATATTATTCTTGACTACTTTAAATATGAAACACATATCAAATTCAATCAGTCATCAAAAGCTTAATATAAAGTGGTTCATATGTTAAAAGCAAAGCGTATGTTTTGCTTGTTTGTAGTAAAAACAAGGATACTGATAATATTGAAACCTCTACTCTAAGTAGCTTCATTGCTAAAGAGAACTGTACTGTTAAGGTTTATATTTCAGGGCAGATAGAAATCCTCTAGTAAAATCAGTGATGATACGAATGTGACAAACCTTGTCAAATTTAAACTATTTTATTGTGTCATTTTGCTTAAAGAAAACTTTTTTAAAGCTAATGGAGCTTTGAAAATCTCTTAATTTTTTTATTTTTATATTTTTTAAAGATTTATTTATTTTTATTGGAAAGGCAGATATATAGAGGAGGAGAGACAAAGAGGAAGATATTCTGTCTGATGGTTCACTCCCCAAGTGGCTGCAACAGCTGGAGCTGAGCGAGTCAGAAACCAGGAGCCAGGAATTATTCCGGGTCTTCCACACAGGTGCAGGGTCCCAAGGCTTTTGGCCATCCTCCACTGCTTTTCCAGGCCACAGGCAGGGAGCTGGATGGGAAGCAGGGCTGCCGGGGTTAGAACTGGCACATGTGGGATCCTGGCACATGCAAGGCGAGGACTTTAACCATTATCCTATCGCGCTGGGCCTTCTTTTTGTTTTTAAATAAAAAGTTTTTAAGGCATAGGTTTAAAGTGCACAGAAACATTTATGTGTCTTAAAATGTTTTTCATAGCTTTAAAGTTTCCCTTATAGATTTTTTGGTATCCATATTTGATATGTGTTTAATGTAAAAATTTATCTATTTGAAAGGCAGAATTACAGGAAGAGGGCCAGAGTTCCTTCATCCTCTGATGTACTCCTAGATGGCCTTAATGGCCTGGGCTGTGGCTGGAGCAAGCCTTGAGCTCCATCCAGGCCTCCAGTGTAGATCGCAGGTGCCCAATCACATTTCCAAGGAACTGGACAAGAAGAGGAGCAGTCAGGACATGAGCTGGCACCCTATTGGATAAATCCATTAGAAATAATCCTTTCTTGGGCACGGCGTGACAGCTCGATGGCTAACTCTTCACCTTGCTAGTAGCAAGATCCCATGGGGCTGCTGGTTCGAGTCTCTTCCACTTGCCATGCAGCTCCATGCTTGTCCAGGAAAGCAGTAGGTGATGGCCCAGGTGCTTGGGACCTGGAGGAGAGGTGCCTGCTTCAGTTCAGCTCCAGCCATTGAAGCCGTTTGGGAAGTGACCCAGTGGATAGAGTTCTCTGTGTCTCTCTTTCTCTCCATAAAAATATGATCTGCCTTTCCAAGAAAAATAAATAAAATGTTTTTTTAAAAAAATCCTTCTTTTTGGAATTCTATAATTGATTGTGTGAAAAGTATTGCTGTAATCTGTTCACAGTTCTAGTCCAATTTATTGGAACTTTCATTACTGTTTTAAAAATAAAATTTATTAAAAATGAAATCGTTTTATAGAAGAACCTGTAGTACTAAAAAAAAAAAAGAAAAAAGGAAGCAGTACTTGCTTCAGCAGCACATATACTAAAAAATAGGAAAAAAAAAAAAAACACCACTTCATCATATCAAGTAGAATAATATTGTAACATATGGCTAAAGTCCAAATTAATGACTGGCATAACTATTCAGGTCTCTTGATCAGGTTGCTGTTTACCTCTTTACTTTTGAAGATCAAGGTAAACAGAGCTATAAGTTTTCCTAGAAGTATGCTTAAAATTCATTGAAAGATCTCCCACCCCTCAAAAAATACAAGGGCATCTAAGTGTTCAACAGACTTGAAAACTGCACCACATCCCGATATCCTGGAGAAAAGGCTTCTTAGCCTAACTTTGTTCCAACTTAATTGACCATGAAACCCTTTTTCTAATCAGCTTTTTATCTAAGAATATTGTTTTCTTTATAAAGATTAATTTATTTAACTTGAAAGTCAAAGTTACAGAGGAAGAGTTCGTCCATCTGCTGCTTCACTCCCCTAATGGCCATAACAGCCAGAGTTGAGCAGATAAGAGCCCAGGAGCCAGGAGCTTCTTCCAGGTCTCCCATGTGGTTGCAGGGACCCAAGGATGTGGGTCATCCTCCACAGCTTTCCCAGGTCATAAGCAGGCACCTGGATAATGAAGTGGAGCAGGTGGGACTTAACCCAGTACCCCTATGGAATTCCTCCTAAGCCACTTACACCAGTCTCTGAGAATATTCCTTAGGCAAGTCTGCTGTAGCTCCAACTGAGAAATCTTGAAAAGATTTCAATTCCTTTGGTCTTCCTCTGTCCTTTGAGTTGTTGGTAGAGATGGATTTTGCAGAGGTGAGGGGTGGTTGCTCTCTTGTTTTTTTGTGCTTTTCCCAAATTATGATAGAACGGGATCTGATCCCCAAGAGGGAACAACATCAGCCATTACAGTACCCAATAATATCATTCCATGTTTGTGTTGGCAGTGCTAAAGATCATCTCATTTAGGCTTAAGTCCAGTCTTGTGGGTAGTATAGTTTTGTCCTACCAAGCTGGCGTATTCCAAATGTTAAGTAATGGAAACATCAAAAGATGATGTCACATTCAAAGGTTTACGAAAGTATGGTTTATTTTGCAGTATTTTAATTATAAGTTTAACTTATTATAAGTTGTCTGTGCTCCTTTTTATGGAAAATGGTTGTTATTTTCTTTGTAAATTGGAATGCTTGGCTGAAATATGTCAAGACATAGAATGCTAATGTTAACTTTGAAGTGCTGCTTCTGATCCTTTCTTCTCTGTGACAGAAGTGTACACTGTGCAGTCAGCCCGGTGCTACTATCGGATGTGAAATAAAAGCCTGTGTGAAGACTTACCATTACCACTGTGGAGTGCAAGACAAAGCTAAATACATTGAAAATATGTCACGAGGAATATACAAGTAAGAAAACAACACTTGTCCATTTTCATAAGTATGTCAGTAAGTAAATACCCTTAAATATATGGCATTCATGTATTTGATCTCTACTCTTAGGTGTCTCTATTCAAGAATAGAATGCTGAGGGTATTATTAAAGGAATAAGTAATGCAACTGGCATTTTCCTGTGAATATGTGCCCTTGGAATAAAACTCATTCATCCAGAATTATGCTTCCTAGAGCAGGCATTGTACTAGGAGTTGGGCATACACTATTGGTCGGCACAGGTATCAACTACATCCTCGGGAAGCCTGCAGTCCTTAGGGACACATCTATTCATTAAACGAGTATTCAACTGCAAACTGTGTGCAGACCAGTGTTCTCAGAGGCTGCCTTTGTGGTGCAGTGAGTTAAGTTGCCAATTATAATGCTGGCATCAATGTCAGAGTCCTGGTATGAGTCCCATTCTAATCTGGCTCCCTGCTAATATGTCTGGGAAGGCAGCAGAAGACGGTTCAGGCGCTTGGGGCTCAGCCACCCATCTGAGAGACCCAGAAGAGTTTCCTGCCTCCTGACTTCAGTGTCGACTGGCTTTGGCTGTTGCAGCCATTTGGGGAGTCAACCAGCAAGTGGAAGATCTTTCAGTTTCTCTCTTTGTCACACCACCTTTTAAGTAAATAAAATCTTGACTTTCAGGTGGGAGAATCAAGGATGAAAATAAGAGATTAATTTGCAGGCTACTGCTGGTGGTTCAGGTGCAAATTGTTGGTAGCTTCGAATAGGATATAGTTGTGAAGATAGAAACCGAAAGGTTATGAAAGAACAAGGTGTGGATGTTTGAGATAACAGATCGCTGTTCCACTTACCTGTGTTGCCTTCGGCTAGTGATGTCAATATATCGCTATAATGGTTCTATTTGTTTAAGCAAATGGAAATCCTTGAGCTTCTCATTTGCCTTCGAGAGTTGTAAAGCACTTACTCTCACATGCATAGAATGCAATAACTTAGTGATTTTTAAGTTTGATTACTCTGTATAAAAAAATACCTATGAGGGGCCGACACTGTGGCATAACATGCTAATCCTCCACCTGCTAGAGTTGGCATCCTATATGGGTATCATATCCTATATGGGTATTCATGTCTTGGCTGCAGCACTTCCCATCCAGCTCCCTGCTTATGGACTAGCAAAGCAATGCAGAATGTCCCAAGGTTTTTGGCCGCTACACCCACTTGGTAGACCTGGAAAAAGTTCTTGATTCCCAATTTTGGATCAGCTCAGCTGTGGCTGTTGCTACCATTTCAGAGAATGGAAAGTCTCTGTTTCTCCTTCTCTCTGTAAAATCTGCCTTTCAAATAAAAATAAATGATTCTTTAAAAAATTGGTTGGTTAGGGCCCAGCACAATAACCTAATGGCTAAAGTCCTCACCTTGCACACACCAGAATCCCATATGGGCACCGGTTCTAATCCCAGAAGCCTTGCTGCCCACCCAACTCCCTGCTTGTGAACTGGGAAAGCAGTCGAGGACGGCTCAAAGCCTTGGGATCCTGCACCCATGTGGGAGATCTGGAAGAGGCTCTGGGCTCCTGGCTTCGGATCAGCTCAGCCAATGGGGGACAAAATCAACAGATGGAAGATTTTCCCTCTGTGTCTCTTCTCCTCTGTCTATATACCTAACTTTACAATAAAATTAAATAAATATTTTAAAAAATTAGTTGGTTAAAGTACTCAGCATGTCAGCATTGTACAGCACTGCCTAAAATGCTGACTGTAGGGGCCCTGTGGCTTGGGCTAGCAGCTAAAGTCCTCGCCCTGAAAGCACCGGGATCCCATATGGACGCCATTTCAGAAATTTCATAAATTGATGGTGATCAGTATCAAATGTTTTTTCACCACTTATCATGAAGGCAATATTTCTTTATTAATTATAATAGATCATAGATCACATTAATAAATTTCCTAGTGTTGTACAGTTTTTAAATTCTAATACAGGGGTGAATTTTAATAATTCTGTTTAGAACTTTGTTTTTAAAGATTTACTTATTTTTTTACTAGAAAGGCAAATCTATATAGAGGAGAGTCAGAGAAATCTATCTGCTGGTTTACTTCCCAAATGGCACAAAGCCAGAACTGAGCCGATTCGAAACCAGCAGCCAGGAGTTTCTTCTGGGCCGCCTACGCAGGTATGGGTTCTCTAGGCCTTGGGCCATCCTCCACTGCTTTCTCAGGCCACAAGTGAGGAGCGGGATGGGAAGTGGAGCAGCTGGGACACGACATGGTGCCCATATGGTATCTCAGTACTTGCAGAGAGAGGATTAGCTAACAGAGCCATTGCGCAGGCCCTTGTTTAGAACTTTTGTGCATCTATTTTTTAAAGTGAGAGTGGTCCGTGGTTTATTTGGTTTTTCTTTTATGTATCTTTGTCAGGTACTTACGCAATCACCACAGAATAAATTTTCTATCTTGCTATGTGCTGAACCTCTTGAAAATAACATTGGGAACATCTGTTCCTTAAAGACTTCACTGAACTCAATTGAGTAGTTGCCTCTTTATTATTAAAGGGAGTTTGGTAAATTTTATAATATACTGTTAGCATTTTTTTAAAAGATTTATTTATTTTTATTGGAAAGTCAGATATACAGAGAGGAGGAGAGACAGAGAGGAAGATCTTCCGTCCAATGATTCACTCCCCAAGTGAGCGCAATGGCCGGTGCTGCGCTGATCTGGAGCCAGGAGCCAGGAACTTCCTCCAGGTCTCCCTCATGGGTGCAGGGTCTCAAGGCTTTGGGCCATCCTCGACTGCTTTCCCAGGCCACAAGCAGGGAGCTGGATGGGAAGTGGAGCTGCCAGGATTAGAACCGGTGCCCATATGGGATCCCGGCGTGTTCAGGGCAAGGACCTTATCCGCTAGGCCACGCTGTGGGACGCAATTTCTGAATTTTTAAAAAGTGTTTTTGTTGAAGCAGTGACGTTACAGAAAGAGGAGAAGGAGGAGAGAGAAAGAGATCTTCTGTCCACTAATATACTCTTCAAATGACCTCCCTGGCTGGAGTTGAACTGGTCCAAATCCAGGAACCAGCAGCTTCTTCCAGGTTTCCTACGTGGGTGCAGGGCCGAAGGACCTGGACCAGCCTGCACCATTTTCCCAGGCTGAAAGCATGTAGCCGGATGGGAAGTGGAGCAGCCGAGACTTGAGCCAGCACCCGTATGGGATGGTAGCACCACAGGTGGAAGCTTAGCATACTATGCACTACATCAACGCCCAGTTTCTGAATTTTCAAGTAATTGTCTCAAATTGTCTTTCTTAAGCAGAGGTGTACCTCAGAATCACCCATCTGTGCCATGGCTTGGAGAAGCCACCAGCTGTGGCACTGGCATGCATTTGGATGCTGGTTCATGTCCCAGCAGTTCTACTTCTGATCCAGCTCCCTGTTAATGGGCCACAGAAAGTAGCAGAAGCTGGCTCAAGCACTTGGGCCCCTGCCACCCATTTGGGAGACCCTAAAGAAACTCTTGGCTTTGGCTTGTTCGGTACTGGCTGTTGAGGCCTTCTGGGGAGTGAACCAGAGGACATTTTCTCTACATAACTCTGAAAATAAATAAATGAATCTTTAGAAATAAGTGAATAAAATGTCCATGCCTTGACCCTACCTTCAGAGATGAAACTTCGTAGTTTGCTGATTCTTAATTCATCTCTGACAACAGTTAGGTTAAATACACTTTCATTCTGATTAGGAACAAGAGGCAATTTTATATTCTCCATTGTATGAATTCACCGGTTTTAAATATTTCTGAAGCTCTACATTATTATTTAAAGTAACTATTAACATTCTTAATATGACTGATGCATTTTAAATACCTAAAATTGAGACTATATGGAAAATTATTTAAATACTTAAATGGAGTATATTTGTAAATTACCTGTTTTCGTTTTGGAAAAAGTAGAAAATATTGATAAGAAACTACATGTCAACTTTAATTCTGTCACTCAGAGATAACAGTTCTAAACCAGTTGGAATATTTTCTTCTAGAGAGTGATTATTTATACATGCATATCTATAAAAACAAAAGTTTCTTGTATACACTATTTTGTAATCTGTTTTCCTTGACTATATCTAAGACAGTTAACAGTTTTAGTTTTCCATGTTTTAGTTGTTGCATATAATTCCATTACATGGCTCTATCAGTTTTATAGGTTCCAGTTTTTGATATTTAGATTTTTTTTGACATTTAGCTATTAGAAAACTGCATTTCAAAAAAAAAAAAGGAAACTGCATTTCAGCGACCATTTCTAAACAAAGATATTTACATTGGAATCTATGATTGTTTGAATTGCTCCTTTTGCTTTTCACATTGCAATGTCTTTGTAAAGCCAGCCTTTAAGCTGAGATCCATTTAGAGGCCTGTAAGTTCAGATGAGATTCCTCCTGTGACTACTCTGAGGAGAGAAGAATGGACAAACAGAAAAAAGGCAAGGATAAATATTTCTGAATGAAGGGTTTCTCTGTCTCCTAAATGTGGCTTTCCATTCTAATCAGCCTTTTCTGGATCCTAACATGCTCGTATTGAAAAGAGGAGGCAGGAATATGTAAATTTTTATGTTAATTCTGTTCTATCCATTTTTTTTTTTAATGTGAGCGCTGTAGGGGTAGGTAGGTATTTGGCCTAATAGATTAAGATAGCACTTGCAGTTTCCTAAATTAGTTAGTGCCCTGTGCTAGCCCTGGCTCTTGGCAGACATTGGGGAGTGAACCGGTGGATGAGAGATCAGTTCGTTTCTCTGCCTCTCATACATATATATATGTAATATCTATTGTATATATGTACACATACATTTTATTATGGTGAGTTCTGTGACAACAAGGATCTTGTTTGCCCAGTTTAAACTTTTGACCTTAGGGCCCACATTGTGGTCCAGTCTGTAAAAGATGCACATCCTAGATTTGTCAATTTGCTGTTTCATTATGTCTCTAGTATCTTCCTCGTATCTCCTTATCAGTTAGTTCGAAAGCTTAGTTAGATGCCGGTTACATTTTGTGGGCACATGCTTCATATGTGTTGCTGTAAAGGAATTCCACTCTTGATACTTGAACTCATGAGGTTTTTAAAAATAATTTAACTCATTTTCATTTTAGTTGAAAGACACAGACAGATATTGTCCTCTTACTGGTTTACTCACAAAATGCCTGTAGCAACCAGGGGAGCAGGCAGAAGCCAGGAACCCAGAACTCAGTCCACAGGCAGTTCCCCAGAGGAGTGTCAGGGACCCTACTATTGAACAGTGACTTTCTCTCTCTCTCTCTCTCTCTCTCTTTTAACTGAAAGATTGTTCCCAATGTGTAGCATTTGAGGAGTACAGATCCTCTCGGGTTCTGTGAAAGTTACTGAAAATGTTTGATTTCCCCCCACCCCAAGAAAAAAGAAATGTGCAACACTAGACTGAAGTCAGCTCTTCCCCTTTTGCATAATCCTGCCTTTTTATTGTACTGAAATGTTAGACCTAAATTTTAATGATCTGTTTGTGACATGTGAATTCCTGCATTACTGACTTTTCTCCCTGCTGGCCACAAGAGGGCATCCAGTGAATATTTTCTAAGCGTTGTGACTGTCATTTTGTCTGTAATTGGCCTACTGCTGAGCTGAAGTTATCCCAACTTCTCTGTCCTGAAATCACTTAAACCTTCTTTAAAAACTGAATTTCAAATATGAAGTATTTTCACTGAAGTGAAAAGGATATTTGGGGATAAGTGTTGTGACACGGTTGATTAAGCTGCCTCTTGGGACACCCTATATTGGAGTGGTATCTGGTTCAAGTCTCAGCTGTTCTGTTTCCTGTCCAGCTTTTTGCTAATTTGCCTGGGAGGCAGCAGATGATGGCTTAGACCCTAAACCACCCATATGGGAGATCCTGATGGACTTTCTGGCTCCTGTCTTCAACTTGACCCAGCTGCAACTGTTATGGGGCACTTGGGAAGTAAACCAGCAGGTGGAAAATTTGTCTCTTGCTCTATTATTCTGCCTTTCAAATAAATAAATATTTAAGAATAAAACATGAGCTGAACAGTGTGATTTCAAAGTATTGCTCCAACATTTACGTGTTAGTTTTAAAGGGGCAAACGTACCTTCACTCTGTAAAAAGCTGGTTATCTAACTACCACCTTTATCGGATGATCACATGTGGCAGCACTAATAGTGGGGCAGTTTGAAACTACACGACTCTTAAGGCTTAACTGCAAAAGAAAAGTCGAACCTAAAGCTAACCAAGCTCTTAGACTTTATTACCAGTTTGTAAGAAGTAAGTGTGAAAGGAAAGCAAATAAAACTCCCATAGTTCACGAAATCTAGTCTGCGACACACTTGAGAAACTATCAGGTGTGATCTTGTCCCAAGTCATCAGTGTTTGCAAGGAAGTTGGAAGGATCAGTGTAGACTAGGAAAGACATAGCCCAAGAGCCAGACGGTCACTGGCAATTGACTGATTCAGGAATGTATTCCCAGTACAGGCTAGAACAGTGAAGGTGAAAAAGCATTTGAAGCGTTTGCATACAATTGTTTCATGAAATGTGAAGCAGAAAGCAGAAGTAAATGCAAAATGTATTTCCAGAAATGTGGGATTCCAGGCTGTATGTATGAAATAAATGTAATAGAATCTGGTTTATCTGTGTGTGTCCGCTTTCGTATTTTAAGTTGGCCAGGTGGAATGAAGACTTGCCATGTAATTGTCATCCTCCACCAGAGATTTTATTTCTGATGAATTTGTTCTATCTCCATAATAACGCTTTTCCTGCCTTTCAGACAAAAATGGATTTGTAACTGTTTGTGGGGTTTTCTTATTTTAAGATTTATTGATTTTTATGAGAGAGGCAGATGTACAGAAAGATCCTCCATCCACCGGTTCACTCCTCCGATGGCTGTAGTGGCCAGAACTGAGCCGATCTGAAGCCAGGAGCTTCTTCCCAGTCTCCCACGTGGCTGCAGGGTCTCCAAGCTTTGGGCTGTCCTCCACTGCTTTCCCAGGCCACAGGCAGGGAGCTGGATGGGAAGTGGAGCTACCGCTAGCATGCATGCAGATGGTTAGCCAGTTGAGCCGTTGTGCCAGCCCTTACTTGTGGAGGATTTTTAAGTGTGTATGAGGAAACAATTACATGAAATGAATGCCACCCTCATCCACTAAGGATGACATAAATGTGTTCTCATCAACAATGACAAAGAATTTGTCATTTTTTTTCCTTTTATCTTTGTAGACTGTATTGTAAAAATCATAGTGGAAATGATGAGAGAGATGAAGAAGATGAAGAACGAGAGAGTAAAAGCCGGGGAAAAATAGAAAATGATCAACAACTAACTCTGCAGCAACTTAATGGAAACTAGGTATGAAAGATAATTGTATGAGATCTGTTGTCAGAACGCAGTGCACACTGATAAATTCATGTTGAAGTAATGCATACAGTAAGATTTTCAATTCCTGTTACATTTACTTAAGAGCATGTTACTGGAATGCTGAGGATTGTGTAGGCTTGCCTAGTTTTATGTTTTTTGGTTTTTAACAGTTTTGTAACCATTAACTCAAGCTATCTACTTCATCAATGAATGTAGTTTTAATGTCAAATCAATAATATATTCGCACTCCTCAATAACATTATGTTGATTATATTTCCCTCAAGCATCATATTTTACATTTCTTTATCATCTTTTAAACAGGTTCATGGGACAGAGTTAGAAAACTGGGAATGAATAAGACATCCATAACTACTATTCTTTTTCACTGTTTTCTAAAATCAAAAAAGGGTTTGTAATTTTTACTGCCCAACTCCTGATCCTTCATTAAGCTGCCTAAAAAGTCTTGTTCATTTTATGAGCCTCGCTCGACGGCGGAGTTTGACATGTTGATATTATATAGCTGTAGCTTTCAGTTTCTGGGTCGCAGTTGAAACACTATTAACCCTGTGTAGTGTGTCAGCAGTTAAAGCAGGCATTGAAATGAAGTAAGCTGTATTTCTGGACTGAACAAAGTTGTGCTGTTTAGAGTGTTTGAATGTGTTCAGTGCACCGATGCTCAAGGGAAGGCATAAGCAGATGTTGCTTTACAATGCAAACATGCCGCTGCAGGCCACTCTGCTCATTTATGGATTTCTTTTCTCCAATCCTAAGTAATGGAGGCTAAAACTGAAGAGAACTCTATTTTTCTCTTGGCTTTGCCAGCAGATACTAAAAATCTCATCTCAGAGATGTGCTGAAACTTTTCACTGGGTTCCTGTTAAAGTTGTTCTCACTGATCAGCTCGGACTGGTACAACTGCTGATTATAAGCTATTAGCTCCAGTGCTTATGCCAAAATTCTCTTGACCATACACCTCTTTTTTTTCCATGTCGCGCAGAGAGCTTCTGGCAGAATGATTGAATCCTTTCAAGTTCAAAGTAATGTTTGGCAACAGCAAATTAAACTTCTTTAAGATTTAAAAACTTACCACTCTCTAAAGGACTCGAGACAACCATGTCTGAAACCCGTTCCTCTCTCAAGTGCCCTGTTTGTACGGAATAAATACTCCACATATTGGCCCAAAAAGTGTAAGGTCTCTTGTGCTATAGGAGTGAAAAGCAGTCTTTGCATAGAACAGTATTTATTTTTTAACTTTGTGACCACTATTTTAGAAACCTTATTTAATATTTGTAATGTCTGCGGTCATTGCTTTGGTTATGATTAAATAGGCTGCGGTGCCCTGCTTCTTTCGTGGTGGGGCTTGGTATTGCTTTGTTGCTCACCAGAACTGTTTATGAAAGCCTAAGAACCCAGCTTTTTAGAAAGGACTTTCACACCGGTATTTTGAGCTTGTGATATTTTCTTCCACTTATGTGCTAAAGCACATCTATATATTTCTTTATGGCAAAACCAAAAAAAAAAAAAAAAAAAAAAAAACAAAAAACCTTCAGTTGTGGTCTGCCTGATAGTACCATAACACCTCAATACCAAGGGTTTCTGATTTATGAATTGCTAGTTACCCTCCCACCATAAAGCAGAACTGCACATAAGAAATCATGTTGACTAGACTGTACATTGAAATATTCTACCATGGGTAGAAAGCATTTTTAAAATGTAACAGATGGAAAATTACACTGTGCTTAATCACTGATTTTTTTAAAAACGGCTAGTCCCTTAAAATCATACTTGTCAAGTGTGTATTCACACATTTACTTAAACAAGGGACTCAATGCTTGCTTTATTTTAACATCTGATGTTATTTCTAGAAAGAAACTAGCTTTATAGTAGGTTGCCCTGTATGTTTTATCATTTTGCTCTTAATATGCCATCATATGTATGTGATTCATTTTCAAAATGTATCATGACTTGAAGTGCAAGGACAGATCTAGATGTTTGTTTACCAAGCAATGTGACTTTTCCCAAAGGATCTGTACTTTATTTCCTTACAACAGCTTGAAAACCATTGTGTTTTTTTTAAAAAAAAAAAAAAAAAAACAAAACTTTCGATCACTGTGTCTACATCGTTTGTATATTATGTGCCATAGAATTTACCCATGGAGAAACAGAGCTCCTTCATTTTGGGACAACTACTGTAATGACTTTTTTTTTTTTTAGGAAAAATGGAAGGTGCCAGGGGTAATCATGGCCAGTCAATAATTATGTAAAGGATTTCAAATACTATAAGCTGTCAGTTGATGGGTTTGTTATGTAGTGAAATGTATGACTTTGTGTGGGTTTCTTCAGCCCTCTCTGCCACTAGCAACCAGAATAGCACTTTACCTTTTGGTTGGCTAGACAAGTGGCTGACTACCTGTTTTTCTCACTGTGGTGTGTGATTGGCTAAATCATCTTTCATGACAAAATTGAAATGTAAATTGAAGTCACATAAAAAAAATCTTCTTTGGTTGTAAATCTCCAATATACTGATTCTGTATACATGTTTTTGTCACATGCTGAGTAAAAGTGCCTTACAATGTAAAAATTGTACAGTACTTATGTTCCCAAGTAGCATCATCATCTTCTGGGTAGTAATCACATTGTGGTATTAATATTTAGAAAAATGGACCTCAGCAGTGTATTTACTGTACATCTCTTAAGTCCTTAACTGTAGTTTTAATAAGCATGACATTATTTGATAAGTATATAACATTTACATCATTTCAAAAATACTGCCATTAATGTTCTTTATGCATATTTTAGCCTGAAATTTTGAAGCGTCTTTTCCTTTTTTTTTTTTCTAATGATATTGAACAGTGTAATCTTTGCAAGCGTATACTGAAGATTATTCTGGAGCATTTATTGCCTTACCAGAAATGTTAGTAAAAAATGTTCTTTAGAATAGAAAGATAGAGTTGAGTTTCTATACTTTAATAAGAGCTCTTTGTTCCTGGGGGAAGGGGGAGGTGGTGGGGCGGGGGGGGGCGGGATTTTACTTTCATCTCAATCTATTAAAAACCCACAACTGCAATCAATTTTATTTCAAGAAACACCAGTTTTGGAATTTCAGGCAGTAGTTGCTCTGAAGTATGTGCTACTCAAGATATTAAGGAATGACAAGTTCCTTAGGTCTACTATTGATCCAGATTCTATGTACTTGAACAAATGTGTGAATCTCAAAAATCTCAAAGCAAAAGAGAAAGTGTTCTGGAGTGCTGGTGCTTTTTTAAAAAGCACTAAAATTTGACAAAGGTATACAGTTTTGTTCTAACACACATAACAGACATTTAATTGTAAAGATAAGGAATGCATCATGAGTCAAATATCAAACATTCCTCTCATGTTCTGTATATTTTGTTCCTGTTATCTTGGCTTTATTTTCAGGATCGTAGTTTGTAGTATATGTTTCCTTTGGTATTCTTGCATATACTATTCGTTCAATAAATGAGTTATGACTTTCATAGTTGTATGTCTTTTTTGTGAATGTGTTTAATGAAGTTTGATGACTTAGTGTTTATTTCAAGGTGAAATGCCTAGTTCGTGTAATAACTTGTTGTTAAACAAGGACCGGAAAAGGAAAAATGTGAATTTATATTCATTTCAAGGTTCTACAATAGAAAGGTTTTCTCAAGGACAGAAAACCACCTTCTAAGAACGCCTTCTAAGAGAATTTGATTACATCTTGGTCCTTTTATTACATGACTCAGAAACATTTGGCTTGAATTAGATGCTCTGGGGCATGGTGGAAAATAACTCTGGAAGAAAAGGGCGAACTGAAGCTGCTCACGTAACTTCCCTGATTGGTAATAGGGGTGTGGGTTCCATAGAGTCAAGGCTGGTTAGTTAACATTAGAAGGAATCAGTTACTGATACACGAGAGAGTGTGGGTGAGCAATGAAAGCATTATGCTAGAAAACCAGGTACAAAAGATCATGTATGCTATGAGTCCATTTTCAAGAAATGTCCAGAGAAACAACCATAGAGATAAGGCTGGTTAGTGGTTGCCAGGGGCTGCAAAAATGGGGGTTTGTGGGTGAGCATGACTGTTAAACAGGTGTAAGATTTCTTTTTGGAGTAATGTCTTGGATACACAGTAGTTGATGGCTGCATGATTATGTGATTATTCTGAAAAACATGAATTACACCCTAGAAAAGGATACCTCATTTTTTAACAGTATATGTGGTGATTGTGTGCAAGTAAAACACACAAAGCTATAGAGAGTGAAAACTTCCTAGGCCTGCCTCGAGAAGGACTTGATATGTAGCTTTGTAGCTTTGTAAATGCTCCTGCACAAATACTATCTGTTGTTTAACATAAATAGGACCACGGTCCTCCAATTCTACACTTCGTCTTTTTCACTGGAATACATTACTAGGTGCCAGTGCATCTTAGTTTCTCACCTTTTTGTTTTGTTTTTGTTTTTGTTTTGTTTTGCTTGTTGGCTTAGCAACCCTTTCTGTAGTATTTCAGAGTATGGTGTGCTGGAATTGTTTTCTCTGGTCCCAAATACATCCTGATATTCTTTTTTCTTTAAAGATTTATTTATTTTTATTGGAAAGTCTAATATACAGAGAGGAGGAGAGACAGAGAGGAAGATCCTCCATCTGCTGATTCACTCCCCAAATGACCACAACAGCCAGAGCTAAGTAAATCTGGAGCCAGGAACTTCTTCCTGGTCTCCCACGCAGGTGCAGGGTCCCAAGGCTTTGGGCAGTTCTCGACTGCTTTCCTAGGCCACAGGCAGGGAGCTGGAAGGGAAATGGCCACTGGGATTAGAATTTGATGCCCATATGGGATCCTGGCACATGTAAGGCAAGGACTTAGCTGCTAGGGTACTGTGCCGGGCCCTGCTCCACACTTTTGATCCAGTTTTCTGCTAGTGCATCGGGGAGACAGTGGATGATGTCCCAAGGATGTGGGTGCCTGCTGCGTTCCTGAGAAATGTCAATGGAGTTCCATGCTCTTGGCTCTGGCTTGTTCCAGCCACAGTTGTGGGCATTTGGGGAGGTAAGCAGCAGATGAAAGGAGAGTTCTGTCACTCTTCCTTTCAAATAAATAGATCTTCCAAATTGTATCAAGGCTGTTATTTGACCATGGTGGAATGAAACTAAACATTAATCACAGGAAAGAGTTGGAAATATTCATAAGTACATTGCAGTTAAGCATTATGCTATTGGGACCTGGCACGATAGCATAGTGGTTAAAGTCCTCGCCTTGCATGCACTGGGATCCCATATGGGCACCGGTTCTAATCCTGGCAGCCCCGCCTCCCACCCAGCTCCCTGCTCGTGGCCTGGGAAAGCAGTTGAGGACAACCCAAAGCCTTGGGACCCTGCACCTGCGTGGGAGACCTGGAGGAAGTTCCTGGCCCCTGGCTTCGGATCAGCACAGCACTGGTCATTGCGCTCACTTGGGGAGTGAATCATTGTATGGAAGATCTTTCTCTCTGTCTCTCCTCCTCTCTGTATATCTGACTTTCCAATAAAAATAAATAAATCTTTTTTTTTAAAAATGAGCATTATCCTATTGAATAACAGGTATTTTCAATGAACTTTTGTGATAACAATAGTAAACCGTTTCAGATGCTTTACCAATAACACCTTTGATCATGTTTCTGTCCACTCATTTTTCATATCAATAAGTCCTTAAGGAGGGACAAGAAATTGTGTTACTACACAAAAGCATTCTTTCGGTAGTAGTACTGTTAGCAGGCGTGGGAACTGCCGCTGTTTTCAGAGGTTAGCTAGGCAAGTTAACAACAGGATTCTTTTTTCAGTGTTCCTGATCCTTAAGTCCAATAGGCTTATATTCTATATTTAGCAATGATTTAGTACTACCAGGAAGCAATAATTCTTTGGACACTGCTCTCATGTGTTCTTGGTTAGCAAAAGATAAAGTAGTTTCTGACAGTTTACAGATCAAAGAGCCGGAATTTTGGCATGATCCTCAACTCAACTTTGTGGACATCCCTTGGGAGCATTTCAACCTGTCTCTTGAATCAAAACAGCTTGGGACGGCTAGCCAGGATGTTGGGGGTGCGAACAGTGCTAACAAAAACGTATGTCCTGGGGAAAAGGCCTTGCAGCTTGCTTTCTCCCTTGGGAAAAGATAGGCTAGGAGAAGCTTGAGGCAGCCATTACTCCATTCCATGAAACCTGAAAATGCAGCCGCCACAGTTTGTAAGCCATTTCTTAGAAGGATCAACACAAAACTGGAAAAGTTCACATCTGGGCAAGGTGTGTGGCCCAATGACTTTGACCTGCCTGCGACGCCTGTGGTCTCCAGAGTGCCTTGGTTACGTCTTGGCTCAACTTCACATTCTGGCTTCCACCTTTTATGCACGCCCTAGGAAACAAGTGGTGGGTCCGCTCTCCGTGGGAAGCCCTGGTTGATTTCCCAGCTGATTAGCTTTAGCTTGACTCAGCCACAGCTTTTGCAAGCATTTGAGGAGTCAGCTGCTGCAAGATCCATCTCTATCTGCCTTTCAAAAGAAAAAGTTAAGTAGAGAAAAGGTAACAGTTACATTTTGATGCTCTATTGGAAGCGTTCTTCCCTGAATCTCCTGATCTGTGGTGTGTCTGCAAGACCGCACCTTTTCTGACTTATCTCCCTACGTTGAAGATGAGGGTTTCCTAGTGTTCTGAGCTTTGCCATCTAGGATTATTCTCACCAGTCACCACAATCTCCTGCCGTTGTTCTTGCCTTTGGGTTTCACACATACGTCCTCCATCACACGAAATCACTTATTAATTTGTTTGTTTAAAAGGCAAAATTAGAAGGACAGGGAAGTGTTCCATCCTCTGGTTCACTCCCCAAATGGTTGCAGTGATTGGATCTGGGCTGTTGAATTGTTTATTAGTTTTTGACAGATTCGATAGAGTTTGTAGATACAATTCCAATAATACAGTGGTAACCTCCCCTCCCTTATCTTAACTGTTGTTGCCATGTCTGCCCAATCTGCCACGTATGTTCCCAGCCCCAGGTCTTGTGCCTGCCAGGGGGTACTGTGGTCCAACCTGACGTGACTCATACTCAGTCATGGCACTTGCCTGCTGGTGCTATTGCCTAACCTGACAGGCCAGCACATATTCTGGCTTTTGCGTGTGACTGTGGGGACAGCAGCATAGCCCAATGGAAGCAGCAGCCCAGCACGGGAGTCCCCGAAGTTCCCCTACCAGGCCTGCTCCCAGCCCCAGGTGTTGTGCATGCCAGCAGGTGCTGTGACCCAGTCTGACATGACCCACCCCCAATTCACTCACTAACAAGTGCTACAACCTGGCTCAGCCCAGTCCACCCTAGTTCCAACTCTTGCTGACAGGTGTGGCAGCCTGGCGCAGCCTGGCCCACCCCCAGCCCTCATGTAAACTGTCAGGTGTTATGGTCCAGCCTGGACTGGCCTGCACCCTGTACTGGCTCTTCACTCATGCTGGTGTTTGCTGTGGAGTTACTCTGCATGGCCCAGTCCTAGACCCAGTTCACACGTATGCCAACAGGTATTGCAGCCCAGCTTGGCCTTACCTGGTTCTTGTGCTCACCTTTGAGAGCTGTGACCTAGCAGGGGGGTTCCCAGAGTTCCTCTACAAGGCCTGCCCCTAGTAACAGATCATGTGTGTGCCGGTGGATACTGTTAACCTGGACTCACATGGCTGGCCGCAAAGTCCTGGCACTAACCAGCAGGCACTCCAGCCTAGCCCAACTGACCCACACCTATTTCAACTCTTGCCGGTGGGTGCTACATTTTAGCTCAGCCTTGCCTACCCTCTTAGGCCTGGCTCTCAAGTAACCTGGCAGATGCTGTGGCCTTGCTCAGCCTGTTGTCCCACACCCACTCTGGCTCTCATAATCGCCAGTGGGTACTGGTGCCCAGCCTAGTCTGGCCAGCCTCCAGCCCAAACAGGTGCCAACGGGTACTACAGCCTTGCCCAGCCAAGTCTGCCCATAGTCCAAGCCCTCATATTCACCAGTAGGAGCTGTAGCCCAAAACGGGAGTCCCCAGAGTTCACCTACCAGGTCTGTTCTCAGCCCTGGGTCTTCCATATGCGATGGATGCTTCATCCCAGCCTGGCATAGCCCACCCACAGTCACAGCTCTAGCTGGTAGGTGTTGTAGCCTAGCCCAGCTGGGTGCAGCCCACACCTTGTTCTGGCTCCCGTGCATGCCAGCAGGTTCTGAGGCTTGGGTCCACCTGACCTGTCCCTAGACCCTAGATCACGTCCCACAAGTGCCAACACATGCTACAGCCTTGCCTGACCTGGCCCACCACCAACCCCTGATCTTGTGCTCCCCGGTGGGAGCTGTGACTCAGTAGCACAGGTCCCCAAGGACCTTTACCAGCCCTGTTCCTAGCCACAGAGCTCCCAGAGGGGACAGTGGCCTGCTGTCAGTCTCAAACCTTGCATGTGCCAATAGGTGCGACAGCCTGGCCCTCTCCTGCCTACTCCCAGTCCCAGACCCACGAGGTCCCTGAGGTCACCCCACAGGTGAGTTCTGTGGCCCAGCCTGGCTCGACTCATCACCACCCTCATCTCTGTGTCGGGCAGCTGTTACTGCAGTCCCACAGAGTGAAGCACACAAGTCCCCTACATAATTGCCCCCAGACCCACCTTCTTTGTGTTGTGCTGGAGCTGCGGCCTAGCCTGATGTGAACCCTCCCCACAAGCACACTGATGGGCCGGTACTGCAGCCAAACCTTGCCAGGCATACCCCCGCAAAGTCCCAGCCTTTGCATGCACCAGTGAGCGGAGGGTGATGATATTCAGCCCAGCAGAGCCCAGGTTTCCCACGTGAGCAGGTGCCCCCGCCTGATCCAGACATGTTCTCCAGTATCTTCCAAATCATTCAGCTCCCTCGCCTACCAACAAGTGCGGTGGCCAAGATCATGGATGATCCCAGAAGTAAGTACTTCCCTGTGAAACGTGCTCTCGGCTGCTCCCACTGCAGCACATCCCCAGACCCTGTTCCCGAGGCAATCATCCACAGGCCCGCATCTTGGGGCCAGGGTGAATGTGTCCCAGCCCAGAGTTTCCCATCTTTCCCACCTATCCTTAAAGCAAAAGTAAAAAAAAAAAAAAAAAAAAAAAAAAAAAAAGGCAGCTTCCATGTGAGAAAGAGATCTGTAATTCCATAAGGCAGCACAATGTACAAATAGCAAAGACATCGAAACAACACAGATGCTCATCAAAAGAGGAGTGGATAGGGCTCGGCACAGTAGCCTAGTGGCTAAAGTCCTTGCCTTCCACGCACCAGGATCCCATATGGATATCGGTCCATAACCCAGCTGCTCTACTTCCCATCCAGCTCCCTGCTTGTGGCCTGAGATAGCAGTAGAGGATGGCCCAAAGCCTTGGGACCCTGCACTTGCATAGGAGACCTGGCAGAAGCTCCTGACTCCTGGCTTCAGATTGGCTCAGCTCCGGCCATTGTGGCCACTTGTGGAGTAAACCAGTGAACAGAAGATTTCTCTCTGTAGATCTGACTTTCCAATAAAAGTAAATGAATCTTTAAAAACAAAGAGTGGATAAGGAAAAGGTGATATTCCATAGAATACTACTCGGCCATTAAAAAAAAGTGAAATTCTACCATTTGCAGTCAATTGGTCCTATCTGCAGATCATTATGCTCAGTGAAACAAGCCAATCCCAAAAGAACAAATATCCTATGTTCTCTCTGATACAAGGAAACCTCCATGAAAAATACAAGATCAATTGCCCTTGAAATACTGTTTATAGCTACATCTCAGGGGGGTTGGTATTTCTATTCTTATTTTCATTCATTCAAAAAAGAAAAGGGTTTTTTTTTTTATTCCCTCACCGACTCATAAGGTACACACCAGCAGCGTCTGCCTCAGGAAGGTCTTTGATTTTCTTTTTCATTTCTTCAGCGACATATCGGTCATTCAGTAGCATGTTATTGAACTTCATGTTGTCGTAAATTTTCCATTTTTCTCTCTGTGGTTGATTTTGTTTCATGGCTTTTCGTTTAAGGGGATGTACAGTAACTGCGTGGTAGAGACAACCACAGATATGAAAATACAATGCAGTGTGCACCTGTTCTTACAAATCAAAGATGGACTCCCAGTGGAACTTTCAAATGGATCTTTTGTTTACTTTTTTTTTTTAAGATTTACTTATTTTTATTGCAAAGTCAGATATACAGAGAGAAGAAGAGACAGAGAGAAAGATCTTCCGTCCGATGATTCACTCCCCAAGTGAGCACAACAGCCGGTGCTGCACCAATCCGAAGCCAGGAGCCAGGAGCTTCTTCCAGGTCTCCCACACAGGTGCAGGGTCCCAAAGCTTTGGGCCATCCTCGACTGCTTTCCCAAGCTGCAAACCGGGAGCTGGATGGGAAGCAGGACTGCCAGGATTAGAACTGGCACCCATATGGGATCCTGGCATGTTCTAGGCTACCGTGCTGGGCCCATCGAATGCATCTTAACAATAAATGCTGGACTGTGCCGTTGTCCATGCCTACAATGTCAGGATACCCTTAAATAGCAGAATGATGGATTTATGACAGGTTGTGAAGGACTATACTAATGTAATGACATGGGGAAATCAGTGGGGGCAAGAATTTGGGGATGGAGGAAGGGAAATCCCGGAGACTATGGAACTATATCATGGAATAATAGAATAAATAAATAGAATTTTTTAGAAGATTTATTTTATTTTTATTGGAAAGGCGGATATAGAGAAAGGAGAGACAGAGAGGAAGATCTTCCATCTGATGGTTCACTCCCCAAGTGAGCGCAACGACCAGGAGCCTCTTCCGGGTCTCCCACGCAGATGCAGGGTGCCAAAGCTTTGGGCCCTCCTCGACTGCTTTCCCGGGCCACAGGCAGGGAGCTGGATGGGAAGTGGGGCCGCCAGGATTAGAACCGGTGCCCATATGCGATCTCGGGGCGTTCAAGGCGAGGACCTTAACCACTGTGCCACCGCGCCGGGCCCAATAAATAGAATTTTTAAAAAAGAATATGCAACTATGCTGGCATAATGGTAAATTAACATAAATTTGGCATTAACTAGGCCCGGACTGCCCTTTATCTATTGGCTGCTTTTTTTTTTTGCATTATCTTTTTCTTTCTTTATATATATATATAATTGCATTTCATTTTTTAACAATGTTTCATAGGCTCTGATGTTCCCCCATCCCCTCTGCGTACCCTCCCCCCATGGTGGACTGTTGCACCTTATTGCCATATTACAGTTCAAATCCAGTCTTGTTTCTTTCATTGCAAGCATGTGCCATGCATAGAGTCCAGCATCTTATTGTCCAGCTGAATTCAACAGTTTCTTGGGGACTGCTTTTCTCATAGCAGTGGAAACACTTGACTAGAGTTGCCTGCAGCTGGGAAGATCTTTATCTCCTAATGACACTCAATGAATCAGGTTACAAGGGGTCTCCATCGCCACTTCCGCTTGCCTAAGTTCTTCCATTCTTCCATTCTGTTCTTTGGCTCCAACCTCTCTGTTCCTGTGTTAATAAGCTGGTGTGGATCCTACTTTGTGTTTGTTTTGTTTTTAGCCATTTCCCTAGATTTCTAACTTCTGCTCTCGTTTTAGCCGCTTCATTTCTTGGCCTCACTTCCTGAGTGATTCAGCCCAGATGTGATGGTTGATGACCTCTGCTACCTTGTGACACCACCAGCCTCAACTTCCTGCATCTCGCAGTTCTCTTTAACACCACATCACCCTTTCTGCCTTGCTTGAATAAATAAATATTTTTAAAAATTCAAAAATATGAACTGTTGCCACCATAGATGCTTGGTGGTTTGTCTCAATTCTCCACGTTGTTGTCTTTCCCATTACATTTAGAAACTCTTACAGAGGGCCTGGTGCAAGAGCCTAGTGGCTAAATCCTCACCTTCCATGTGGGACATGTGGGCACCAGTTCATGTCCCAGCTGCTCTACTTCCCATCAAGCTCCCTGTTTGTGGTCTGGAAAAGTAGTGGATGATGGTCCAAAGCCTTGGGATCCTGCACCCACGAGGGAGGCCAGAGGAGGCTCCTGGCTTCAACTTGGCTCAGCTCTGGCTGTTGTGGTCACTTGGGCAGTGAACCAGTTGATAGAAGATCTTTCTGTCTCTCTTTCTCTCTGTAAGTTTACCTTTCCAATAAAAATGCATAAATATTTTTACAAAGATATTACAAACATAGGCATACCGACTCTAGAATTTGGTGGCTTGGGTTCAAATTGCACAGGAGTTTCATCCTGTATTGAACCCCTCTCTATTTCCATTATGTCCCCAAACAGTTCAGAGATGAAAACAGGACCTCGCTCAGAGACTTGTGAGGATTAGAGATAGGCATACAAGGCTCAAGACTCCTGCCTCTCCCAGTGTGCTGCCTCTTCCACTTGTGCTTCCACATTTTGCCTTTTGCTCCATTTCTCACAATCATCTTCAAAGTCCCTGCTTGACAGCTCCACTTGCAGTGTTACTACTCATTGCTTACATTTTATTGCTTCTGTCCAATCTCTCCCATTCTCCACCACGCTACACGTGTCCCAGCAAAATTCACCAGTGACTTACAAAAACCAATGAGCATGTCTTTAGTTCTTGTCTTATTTTCTGACTCTACTTGATGCCCTTAACAGTCCACATGCTGTCTCTTAGTCACCTATTCATCTTTTAACAGATGACCCAAGAAAGAACAGAATTTTTTTAAAGTTCTGTCAGAGAGTCTAGATGTCCTATCTACCTGCCACCATCCTGCTAGCACATTTAATAAGAATATACACAAAATGTGGAATTTTCTTCACAAAGACCCTGGATGTAAGGTTGAAGTAAACTGTATGCCCCGAAGAGGCAAAAAAGAGAACTGAGAGAAATGGGAAGTTGGAGGAGTTAATTTTGGGTACAAGACATTTTGAAACAAGCGCAGTTTTTGCAGAATATGCATCTCCATGAACTTTTTGAAAGGCCTTAGCATGTGATTCTTTTGTTGTTGTTGTTGTTGTTGTTTTGTTTTTTGGAAAGTCAGATTTACAGAGAGCAGAAGAGATAAAGATCTTCCGTCCCACTGGTTCATTCCCCAAGTGGCTCCAATGGCCAAATCTGAGCCTATTTGAAGCCAGGAGCTCCTTCCAGGTCCCCCGCATGAGTACAGTGCCCCAAGGCCTGCCCTCCAGCCAGCCAAATCTATTTGCCGCCGGTTTGGTTGGGTCTTTTTGTTTGCTTAAGATTTCTTTATTTTGATTGGAAATGTGAATGTACAGAGGGAAAGATCTTCCATCCACTGGTTCTCTCCCCAAGTAGCTGAAATGGCAAGGGCTGAGCTGATTTGACACCAGGAGCCAGGAGCCGGTGACAGGGGACTTTCACCCCACCAGATGCCAAAAGGTAATGGCGAGTCCTGGGGTCCTGGCTTGACACGGGGTACACATTCTCCATCCTTGGGTACTGGAGCGGTTGGGAGGATGGGTATGACTTCCCTCCTTATACCCCCCTACCCTGAAACAAGGAGACATAGGAAATTTGGAAATAATGATCACACTGATTTTTTTCCTAAACTTTGATGCATCCTACTCGGATCAGCTGTGTTAACATCATCTAAAATTAAAAAAAAAAAAAAAAACAAAAAAAACTTATCTGCCACTCCTCCCAGTTCTGCCCTCTAAGAAGCAATGCTCTGCGTGGTGGCCTAGTGGCCAAAGTCCTCGCCTTGCGTGCTCAAGGATCCCATATGGGCACCGACTTGTATCCCGGCCGCTCCACTTCCCATCCAGCTACATGCTTATGACCTGGAAAAGCAGTAAAGAATGCCCCAAAGCCATGGGACCTTGCACCCACGTGGGAAATCTGGAAGAAGATTCTGGCTCCTGGCTTCAGATCAGCTCAGCTCTGGCCGTTGCAGCCACTTGGGGAGTGAATCAGCAGACAGAAGATCTTCCTCTCTGTCTCTACTCTTCTCTGTACCTGACTTTCCAATAAAAATAAATAAATCTTAAAAAAAAAAAAGCAATGTAGGCCTGCAGAAAATAAGGGCTTCATTGTCTGTGAGACCTGAGCTTGAATGTCACTGTTGCCACTTAACACAAGTAGCTCTAAGCAAGGTTTTTTCCCCTTGTCTCAGCTGCAGTCCGTCACTCTGTCCATCAAAATCGGGATAATATCCCTTACCTCACCAGGTTGTCTTAACCCAGTAGAGAAAATAAAGTGATTATAAAGGTATTACCTGTTTCACGGCAGATAACAGTGCTTCTTATTCTTTTGTTCTTTTACTTTCTCTTTTTTTTATTTAAGATTTATTTATTTTTATTGGAAAGGCAGATATATATAAAGAAGAGGAGAGACAGAGAGGAAGATCTTCCATCTGATGATTCACTCCCCAAATGACTGCAATGGTCCAGGAGCTCTTCCGGGTCTCCCACGTGGGTGCAGGGTCCCAAAGCTTTGGGCCGTCCTCCATTGCTTTCCCAGGCCACAAGCAGGAAGCTGGATGGGAAGCAGGGCTGCCAGGATTAAAACCAGTGCCCACATGGGATCACAACACATGGGAGGTGAGGATTTTAGCCACTGAGCCATCACCAGGCCCTGTTTATTTTTTTAAACAAAAAAGTATTTGCTGCTCCTTTTTCCGTATAGTGATCCTAGAGACACCCAAGAGAAACTTGGCTCTGTTGAGTTCTTTATCTTTATTACTGTTCATTGAAGTTCATTACACATAAATTAGAAAATACAAATAGAGATACAAATTTTGTATCTTCTGTGATTTTACTAAGCATGGTAAGTCACCATTGTTTGTTTTAAAATTATGTTTCTTTTTTTAAATGTATTTTTTTAATTGGAAAGGCAGATATACAGAGAGCAGAAGAGATAAAGAGGAAGATCTTCTGTCTGATGGTTCCTTCGCCAAGTGGCTGCAATGTCTGGAGCTGAGCCGATCTGAAGCCAGGAGCCCAGAGC